GTAAGTAGGATTGGTACTCACACCCTTATCATGGGACTATTTGTGAGGGTTGAGCGTGTTTATTCACGTACAGTGTTCAGCATATACCAAGTGCTCACTGGGTGTTAGTTATTATCTACTAGAGGCCTGGTGGACGGATTTGTGCACTGGTGGGGTCCCTTGGCCTGGCCTGCAGGGATTGGGCCGAACCGGCTCTCTGACATCCCCTGAGGGGTCCTAGATTGTGAGAGGGCGCAGGCCAGACCGAGGGACCCCACCGGTGCACGATCGGGGTGGGGAGGGACCGCAGGAGGGTTCCAGGGCATGTCCAGCCCATCTCGCCCAGTCCTGGTGGGCCAGACCCCAGCAGCAAGCTAACCTACTGGTCAGAGCGTCTGCCTTCTGGTGGTCAGTGTGCGTCATAGCGACTGGTTGAACAAATGGTCGGACACTTAACATATTAGGCTTTTATTATATAGGATTCCCCTATTTTCTGGTTCCTTGGACTACTTTCTTCTCTACCTTCAATTGATTTCTCTTTACAAGTTGTATTAATTTCCTATTGCTGCTCTAATAAATGACCACAAATTTAGTGGCCTCCAATAGTACATATTTATTATTTTACTAGAGGCCCGGTGCACGAATTTGTGCACAGGTGGGGTCCCTTGGCTTAGCTGGTGATCGAGGCCTATTGGGAGGCTGGCTGGCTGGGGGGAGGGGCCATGAAAGGTTGGCTTGTGGGAGGGTAGGGGCTGCAGTAGGTTGGCTGTGGGAGTGCACTGACCACCAGGGGGCAGCTCCTGCGTTGACTGTCTGCCCCCTGGGGATCAGTGTGCATCATAGCTACTGGTTGATGGGTTGTTCCAGTCATTCTGGTTGACTGCGGAAGGTTGGCCAGCCGGTGGGGAGGGGCCCCGGGAGGTTGGCTGTGGGAGCACACTGACCACCAGGGGGCAGCTCCTGCGTTGAGCGTCTGCCCCCTGGTGGTCAGTGCGCTTCTAGAGGTTGGAAGTCTGAACTGGGTTTCACTGGGCTAAAATCAAGGACTGATCCCCCTGGAGACACAGGGAAGAATCCATTTAGTCGCCTTTTCCAGTTTATAGAGATAGTTTGCGTTCCTTGGCTTTTAGCCCACTTTTGTCTTCAAAGCCAGCAATGGCAGGCTGTCCTCACATGGCATCACTCCAACCTTGATTCCATTGTCCCAACTTTTTCTCTGACTTTCCTGCTTCCCTCTTTCATGTATAAGGACCTTTGTGATTAAATTAGACACACCTGGATAATCCAGTCTCTTCTCATCTCAAGATCCTTAAAGTAATCTACGAAGTCCCTTTTGCCATGGAAGGTAACATCCACAGCTTCCAGGAATTAGGGCATGGACCTCTTTGGACAGCCATTATTCTGTTTATTCCCCCCCCCCCCGCCCACTCCAAAGTTCTCCCCACTTGAGATATGGCTTGTGAGAACCATCCTAAACAAAATACCCCTCCCTTCTTTTCCCCAGATTTTTTTTAAAAAAATATATTTTTCTTTATTGATTTCAGAGAGGAAGGGAGAAGGAGAGAGAGGGGGGGGGGAGAGAGAGAGACACATCAATGATGAGAGACAATCATTGACTGGCTGCCTCTTTCACACCCCTACTGGGGATCGAGCCCACAACCCAGGCATGTGCCCTTGGCCGGGATCGAACCCGGGACCCCTCAGTCCGCAGGCCAACACTCTATCCACTGAGCCAAGCCAAGCCAAGGGCTTCCCCAGATTTTTGAGATGTAATTGACAAATAAGAAAAATATCTCTCCCTTAAAGGTACACTGTCACCCTAGCCAGTTTGGCTCAGTGGATAGAGCATCAGCCTGTGGACTGAAGGGTCCCAGGTTTGATTCCGGTCAAGGGCACATGCCCGGGTTGTGGGCTCGATCCCCAGTAGGGGTGTGAAAGAGGCAGCCAGTCAATGATTGTCTCTCATCATTGATGTTTCTATCTCTCTCTCCTTCTCCCTTCCTCTCTCAAATCAATAAGAATATACATATTTTAAAAAGGTACACTATCTTCTCTCTTCCTCCCTTCTCAACAAGCTCTTTTCAAGAGCTGTATTGGCTTGTTTTCTCCACCTCCTGACAACCTGCTATCTGCGTCTGCCCCCATACTCCACCAGACCGACTTGCCCTGATCACCATTGGCCTCCATGTTGCCAAATCAATGGACACCTTTCATTCTTACCCGGCTGCATTTTCCATGTTGGTTGCTCACTCCTTCTTGAGACCCATCTGTCCCCTATCTGCCTTTAAGTGTCTTTGTCCTGGTTTTCTTCCTGGTTCTTTCTGGCGTAGGCACCTTAGGGGGTACACTGTCTCCACCTACCCATGAAATGTCCGTGTTCCCTGGGGCTTTGCATCTTTGTTCCATTGCTCTTCTCTTGGGTGATCTTGTCCCACACTTCTGGTTGCAAATGCCACTTGCACAAGGACGACTGACCCCGCCTGTGCTGTGAAAATCCCTGGCTGGAAGTGTTGATGAAGATTGTGCTTCCAGGAATCCCATAAACTCCTCAACTTCGTTGGTCCTTCTTGAAGTAGACCCAATGAGAGAGCTCCTTCAGGTGGGTGCTGACTTGAGAACCATGAAGCCTGGGGCACTTATGCTTTCGTTCCAGACTGTGTGGCCTATTCCATCAAGAATGTGTGGTCCTTTCAGGACCCCGGCGAGGACAGGTGAAAGGCAGCAAACCCAGTGGTGCCAAAGGACAGATCCATGTTTCATGGGAGTAACAGGAAAGCAAGCAGGGAAGGCATGTCTTCAATACTGTGTTTACTGGGGCAAACCCCACCTTTATCCGTGTGGTTTGCAACTGCTGGAGCTCTGAAGGAGCCAAAGGCTACCTGGAGCTCAAAGGCACAAAAATATTCGAAGGGAGCCAAAGTGCATCCTAACAGTTCAGTTAGATAAGACTCACCAGAAACAGAGAACAGTGTAACCAAACAGTGGGGCTGCCTCCAAATGCAAGAAGGTTGCCGAGGGAGGTACGGTACAGAGGTTGGTCTTGGAGGCAGTCTGGAGGTTCACAGAGGAAGAGGAGACGTGGGCAGAGAATGGAGAGGGAGCAAGGAGGAGGAAGCCATTTTAGGCAGGAGAATAGCATGGGCAAAGGCTTAGAGTCAGGGCCAGTATAATCTACGTGGGGAACAAGGAGAATGCAGGGGAGATGAGGTTGGAGAGAACTGCATCCAGAGGATATGCTAGCATTAGGGTAGATGCTAACACAGGAAGCTTGAACTATACCTGGTTGGCATGAAGAAGCTGTGGAAAAGGTTTGAGCAGGGGGATGAATTGAGCAGAGGTCAACTTTAGGAAGACTACTCCAGTCCTGGGTGGATTGATGAGGGGAGTGTTGAGTACCAGATCTTAGAATATGCAAGGTGTAATTTTAGAGAGAAGAGGAACCTTGGCAATTACTGGTCCATTCCTATCATTTTATATAGTGTGTGTGTATTTATATATCATATATAATCATGTTTTATATACGCACACATGTATATTAAATGGCCTAGCTAGAGGGTGAGTGGCTTCCCAAAGGCACATAGCAACAACACCAGTACCAGCATTAGTACTCAGGTCAGACTCCTGATCCAGTGCTCTTCTGTGCCCTACTCAGTAGAGGCAGAGATGTATGAAAGGAGGCTGATCCAACAGTCAAGGCAGAGAGTGATGCAGGTCTTGACCAGGGCAGGACAGGGCAGACACCAAGGTGAAGACCATGTGAGAGGCAATGTGATATATTTTCTTTTTCTCTCTCTCTGGGTGGGGGTTGGGACATAGGGCTTGTTGGAGACTGCACATGAGCGCATCTCTTTTTCCTGGGTCCTGCAGCATCCTTCTGGGCCTGGTTTCTATGGCAACAGCTCCCAGCAGGCAGCCTGCCAACTGAAGGAAAGCAGGCAGGCAAGGCAGGCAGGGAGAGAAGGCCTGGGCAGCAAGAGGAAGGCTGAAGTTGTGGGGGTTGGGGGACCCTCCTGGGAAGCTGGAGGGGCCCCTAGAGCTGGTCCCTAGCCCCTCTCCCCTGATAATATGAGTAGAGTTTGCTTAGGACACAAGAGCCTTTCTTCTGTGATCCTTGAAATTCCAGACCTCAAACTTCTGTTCACTTCTCCACCCACCCCTACATCTCCTGACTCCCACTTCAAGTATGGTCCGACCCCAGCCTCATGCACTTCAGGGGCCACGGATTTCTTCATGGAACCCAGAGGGGGAAAAGAACAAGACCAACTGACTTTCTGTTTTGCATATGATTTGCTTATTAACTCAAAGAAGAAATTTCCAGGCCGTATGCCATTCCTGCCAACAACTTAATTCAACTCCATTGGCACCGGCTGACTGTGTCTGGCCAGGCTCTGGGCTGAGCCGTGGGGTCCCTAGAGGAAGAGAAGTCCGCCCAGCTGCTCCCACCTCCCTTCCCCCCAGCTGCTCAAGGCAGTTCTTCCTGATGTTCCAGCAGCTGGTGCCTTGGGAAGTGCTTGGGCTGTGGAGCAAGCAGCAGCCCTTGGTCCAAATGCTGGCTCTGCTTCTTTACAGCTGGGGACCCATGGGTCTCTCTGGGCTGTAATTTATTCATGTCTGCAGGGCTGAGGACCTACCTGTACAGCTGGTGGAAATAAGCAGACGCAGCATTTGTTAAAGTGCTGAAATCCCTCTCTATTCATTGGCAAATACCCTGGCTCCTCCCTGGCCCCTCTGGCACCCCACCCCCAACCCCGCTTCTGCAGGGAGATGCTCTAGCACGGGGGGGGGGGCTGTGTCTGTTTTCATGGGCATATGCCAGCAGCTGTTCTGTACAGATGAACTATTGTAAGTATCACCCTGTCCAGAGGCGATGCCACAGGTAGGTATATTATGTACCCACCTGTTACAAGGACTAATATAGTTAAAGGTCATATAGGTTTCCTTTCTCGTCCCCTTTCCTTTTAGTCTGGGGTGGGGGTGAAGGCCGGGGGGAGGGCAGAGATCACAGCCACCTCTCTCACCAGGCGGGCGAGGTTCAAGCGCTCCAACAGTGTGACGGCTGGCGTGCAGGCAGACCTGGAGCTGGAGGGCCTGGCCGGCCTGGCCTCGGTGGCCACAGAAGACAAGGCCCTGCAGTTCGGACGCTCCTTCCAGAGGCACGCCTCTGAACCCCAGCCCGGACCCCGGGCCCCCACCTACTCAGTCTTCCGCACGGTCCACACG